TGTGGCCTGGGTCCTGCTGTGCTCTTCCTGCTCCGGGTCCCTCCTGTCTCCACCCTGGCTCCTCCCTCCGTTGTCTCCTCCCTGAACTCTGTCTGCCGGCCCCTTCCTGGGTGTCCGTCCTCCTCCTGAGCCTCCTCCCTAGTTCCCACCCACTCCCCTCCCCATGTTGTTTCTACAGTGCGAGGACGCACCTTCCAGGAGGGGGGGAGTAATGTCACGCCCCTGGACTGATTGTGTTGTGTTTTCCCTCCCCAGGTGTGCCGTGTCTCAGTTAATTAGTCATTCCATACACCTGTGTTCCCCTAATTGCCCAGTGTTTATTAGCCCCAGTCTGTGCTGTCTGTCTTTGTCTGAGATTGAACGTCAAACCCTGTGTTTCCTGTGTTCCTGTCTGCCCCGAGTATTCCCTTGGATATTTGAATTAAAAGACTTTCGTGAGTTTAATGCCTTGTCTCCTCGTTCCTCGCTCCGTGCCATAGGCGAACCGTGACAAAAACGTTACACTGTATGGTTGTTTTTGAGTGTGAGTGAATATAGCACAATAAAAAGATAAATAAATTAGCTAATATTAAAAAATATTGACAGTCATAATTTTCCCTATATTATTGTATTTTGTCACTGTTGTGAATTGATGAATTTATACAGACAACAGTAAATATGATGATATGTTCATGAGAATTGTCTCGCTAGTTAATCTGATACTAAATATCTGATGTAATGACTTACAAAAAAGGTAAAAAAGTTGAATTTGATTATGGATTTGATTTGTGTTCATTTGATTTTTCTGTCCTCTCCAGAGAGACACTAAAGGGCAGTTTCTCTTGGATCACGTGTGTAATCAGTACAGCCTGCTGGAGAAAGATTACTTTGGCATCAGATATGTGGACCCAGAGAAACAAAGGGTAACTACACATTCACAACTCTAATTTCGTTTGGCTTCAATATTCAGTAAGCGAATACTGACCTGAAAGTTTATGTAACTTCAACAGATACTGTATACTGTTTAAGCACTTAAACCATACTTAAAGGGGTCATATGATGCAATTTCAATTTTTCCTTTCTCTTTGGAGTGTTACAAGCTCTTGGTGCATAAAGAAGATCTGTAAAGTTGCAAAGACTAAAGTCTCAAATCCAAAGAGATATTCTTTATAAAAGTTAAGAGTCAGCCACGCCCTCCTAAAACGGCTCGTTTAAACACGCCCCCACATGTCTACGTCACAATGTGGGAAGATTTGCATAACACCGCCCAAATGTGCACGCAAAGAAAGAAAGCGTGGTTTCAGGAACAGCAGT